GGTGTTGGTGTGACAGTTTCTGGTGTTGGTGTGACGGTTCTTGGTGTTGGTGTGACAGGTCATGGTGTTGGTGTGACAGGTCATGGTGTTGGTGTGACAGGTCATGGTGTTGGTGTGACCGGTCATGGTGTTGGTGTGACAGGTCCTGGTGTTGGTGTGACAGTTCCTGGTGTTAGTGTGACGGTTCTTGGTGTTGGTGTGACAGGTCCTGGTGTTGGTATAAATCCTCATTTGCAATTTAGTTTTATAAGTGAATCAAGTTTACACCTTCACCTAACGGACTAGAACAGTAAAGACAAGAGCAAGCCTACTGGCCATGAGTGTGTCGGGTAGCCATGAGTGTGTGGGGTGGTCATGAGTGTGTGGGGTGGCCATGAGTGTGTGGGGTGGCCATGAGTGTGTGGGGTGGTCATGCGTGTGTGGGGTGGCCGTGAGTGTGTCGGTGGTCCCTTATGTTACAAAATTTACTTATAAAATTAAAAAAATTTCACTTCTTCACTTTCCTTCTCCTCACCTCCCCCCTCCCATCTCACCTTCCTCCCCTCAAAGTACGTCACTTGCATTCTCCTTCACCTTCTTCACCTCAGACACGGTTCCTGGTGGAGGGGGAGCCAGGGATGGGCAAGACCTTGTTGGCCCTCAAGCTGGCCATCGACTGGGCCAATAAGAAGAATCTGCAGGAATTCAAGTTCGTGTTTCTCATCTTCCTGAGAGACTTTAAGGGCAGTCTTGAGCAATACGTCAAAGAGGAACTCCTACCATCACACTTCGAGGAAAAGTAAGTGTGCGTGCGTGTGTGTGCGTGTGTGTGTGTGTGTGTATAATGATAATAATAATAATAATAATTAACGGTTTAATGAAAAAGTTCCTCAACCAAAAGGTTGAAAATAAACTTTGGCCAGAAATGAGTTAATACATATAAAGACATGGGGTGGGTGGGTCGTTAAACAAAAGCTTTCAGTACTAAAAGGAGAAGGAACATGAATTGAACATACAAATTATAGTTTACAGTTGATGGCCCGGGCTGGTCTCTTGCCACGTTGTAGCAACTCATTATTATGTCGCAATGTCATGGAGACACCATGTCGCGTGGTGTGGTGGTTTCTCCTAGGCAGGTGTAATGCTGACCCACGGTCGTTCCCAGTGTGGACTGGTTAACGCTAAACCGCCTGGTCAGAAGATGGTCGGTTCCCAGGGGCCTGTTATATCTGGATATCTCATGACCTCACTGGTTTATGTGATCGTTAACTTGGTCATGCCTCTCGGCTGTTACTGTTTAGTGTTGATTACACTGGCCTAAACACTGTTCATCACTGATTCCACTCCTTTACGAAACAAAATTGTCACTTTTGGCGGGGTTTTGCTAATAACCGGTGGGGAGGAGAGGCTGAGGGGAGGGAATTGGGGAATGGACCTACAGGTTGGCCCAGGCAGCTTCTGGAGCAACGCCGAATAAGTCTTGACCCTTTGGTGGTGGTGATGCACGTGTGTTTGTTGGGTGGGGGACGGGGTAAGTTCAATTGGTGTGATCTTTACACCTTAGTAAAGTACAACTCGTGTTTGTCTTTTCCACGTTCCTCTGCCAGATTTAGGTTAAGTAAATGTCATAGTTGTACCTCTGTCAGTTCCGATGGCTTTGTAAATAGCAGGATAAATATATAATTGTTTTAGTATAATATTTCCGTCATTGCCACATACATATTGGCAGTGCCATAGTACAGAAAGACAATTTGGCATTACGCGGACATATTACAAGACATTGCTCGCCTACACACAAAGGAGGATTAAGTAGCATTAATCCATGGTCCCATAATTACTGTTTCAGGTTCAAGAAAGTGTGGGAGTACTGTAAGATGCACGAGGAGCAGGTTCTCTTCATCCTGGACGGGTACGATGAGCTGGAGAAGGCTGACGAAGGAGAGATCCAGAAGTTGTTGGGTAATAGAGACTTTCAGAATAGTAAAGTCGTGGTGACTGCGCGGCCAGACGTCCTCAAGACCATCGCTCAGAGGACCATAGTAAAGGGCTTCAACGAGGCACAGATGTTCGAGTTTATCACCAAGTACTTCAAGCTGGTCAACGAGGATGAGTGCGGGAGGAACCTCAAGAAAATCATTGAGAAGGACTACAAGTACCGGAAGCTGGCCAAGCGGCCACTCTTCTGTGTGTTGTTGTGTATGTTGTATGGGTCTGATGGCGTGGCCAAGCTTCCAGAGAAACTCTCAGATCTGATGTTTAAGATTATGCTGTGCCTCATAAAGTGGAACATCAAGAAAGTGGGTAATGTTGATGAGAACACTGAATCCTTCCCTCCGGAGTATGAGGAATTATTTCTCAGTTTTGGAAAGTTGTGCTTAGAAGCACTGAAGACAGAGAAGACGCGATTTAGTGCAAAACAAATTCAAGATATTGAGAACTCTGACAAGTTGCTTCACCTTGGTTTCTTATCCAACGACAGTGAAAACGGTGTTCTGGGTCACAAAAAGTTCTGGAAGCCAGTGCACAAGATCTTCCTGGAGTATTTAGCGGGGTTATACATTGCCAACCACATAGAGCGGTACAGGTCTAACTGTCGAGAGTGTCGAGAGTTCTCCAAGGTGTACCGCCACGAGCACGTCCTGAAGTTTGTGGTTGGTATTTTGGGCAAGAGAGCCCACCTGGCCCTCGTCGGTAAAAAGCGCCAGGCCTTCCTGCAGATGCGGGATCAAGAGCTACTGATGCTGCTGCGGGAGGCAGAGCCCACCTATGAAAACTGTCGAGCTGTGGCCAAGCTACTGGACCGTCGCAACGCCATTGTCCACACCAGCGAAATGGACTTTGAGGGCTGGAGCTTTATTATTGCTCAAAACTTTAAGAAACTCAAATCCTTAGAAATTGTCTGGCGCATCAAGAGCAATAATCCCGACCAGGAGAGCTCGTTCAATGAAGCTACTCCCGATCAGTACACCGCCTTCTTCAACGCGCTCAAATCCAACACCAGCATCAACAAAATCAGTATTAGAGCCACACAAGATGGGGAGCCGTTCTCTGACCAGAAGATCGAACTCTTCTTCTCTCACTTGCAGGCGATACTACCTAAGGTAAACCTGCGAGAGCTGGAGATCAAGGAACTTAAGATGAGCGTCTCTCATCACCTGAGGAAGGCCTTTGAAGGTGCTACCTGTCACATGGATAAGGTAAGGAAAGTTCGGAAGGGTGTGATTGCGCTCATGAAAAAGAATTCCATTTTGAGAGAAAAATATTTTACTATGCACGTGTTTACAGAACTATTTTACTATACACAAGTTTACTAGAATCTGACAAATCTCAGTTTTTATTCCAAAATATATATACAGAACCAACCATATTTGTTTATATATATAACTGCAGGTTAGGATTGGTTTATTACAAGTGTAAACTCAGTTTGATATGTACAGTATATATATATATATATATATATATATATATATATATATATATATATATATATATATATATATATATATATATATATATATATATATATATATATATGTATATATATATATATATATATATATATATATATATATATATATATATATATATATATATATATATATATATATATATATATATATATATATATATATATATATATATATACTGTATATATATAGGGAGAAGTACAGGTTTAAGCACTAGTGTCCAGCGTCCGTAAAGGGTTAAATAAAATAATCGTCTCTCTTCGGCTTTTCTAACACCCTTCTTCCTGGTGACTAAAGGCTCCCTCCTCTCCTGTAGAAGGCCCTGGAGGACCTGCAGATCCTGCGTCTGGACATGTACATGAGTGACGACGATTTAGAGGTACTGTGTAGGAGACTTACCCGCTGTGCCCCTAAACTGAAGGAATTACAACTTACTGGCCTCGTTCACGGACCTTCAGGGTTTGACAGCTTGGTCGAACTCCTGAAGAAGAACAGAAACCTCCACAAGCTTTGTCGTAAGTTCATCTCTCTCTCTCTATTTATAATAAGTGTCCTTTCTTTTATATATATATATATATATATATATATATATATATATATATATATATATATATATATATATATATATATATATATATATATATATATATATATATATATATATGATTTATTTTATGTAGATCCACAACGGAAACTCGGATAAGATAAATCTTGATAAAATCACACAGGAAAAAGGGAAACAATGGAGCACCTTAGCTTTCGTCTTTATTCATCCCATAGATTTGGAAAACAATTTAGAAGTGTATAAATCATCATGTGTCACAGAAAGACTTTTGGTTGAATCAAGTTTGATTGAGAAATTAATTCAATAAACCTTAGTGATGGTCAGTACACAACTGAGAATGTTACACAAATTAATTGTCAGTGGCCCAAGGATAAAAATGCTTTGGAAACATTTAAGGTAGATGTACGATAGACGATTAGTGGGTCTCATATATATTTACCTGACTTAACATGACTAGTTACGTCGCCCTTTCTTATAAGCTCCTCTTGTGTTTGCGGTGGTGGTTGGTGTGTGGATTAGTGGATGGCATGTGCTGTGTGGTTGGTGTGTGGATTAGTGGATGTCATGTGCTGTGTGGTTGGTGTGTGGATTAGTGGATGTCATGTTATTGTCCTAACCTCATGTTTAGTAAGGTCACCCTGTGTACTTAAGCCTCTCTGTCCTTGTAATTCAGTTGCATCTGAAAATGTCTTGAATAAAGACACATGTACTGTATGTGTGTGTGTGTGTGTATTCCGGCAACCAATTCCAGTTAACCTTTACATCTCAGAGTTGTAAAACACCAGTTTACTTTATAGTCTCATCAACCTTTGTAAAGTATCCAACACCACCAATATGAACCTCCTTAACACTGTTTCATCTTACAGTCTCTATGAGCAAGGCGCAGCTAATGCCTGGAGAAGGAGTATTTATGGGTAAAATGGACCTGACGCCCGCTGAGTTCCGGAAGGATATAAAGCAAATGACGAGAAAAGCTACACGGGAGAGTAAAGATGCCTTCAAGAAACAGGTAAGACGAAATATAGATAGATAGGAGGCAGTTTGTTTGTGTACCTCACTTCTGACGTTAAAGTAACCCATCCCAGGGTACTGCACACGCTTACCTCTTGATTTTTAGATCCATATACTGTATATATTGTGCATATGCTGTATGTTACTTTTTTTGCGAAATCGGTTATTTTGCAAAATTACTGGCATGCACATTGGTAATTTTGCGGAATAAATTGCAAACAGACAACCTAAACTAACTTAACCTTATGGTTTGGTTAAGTGAGAGGTTAAGTTAAGTTAAGTGAGAGGTTAGGTTTAGTTTGGTTTGGTTGTGTATCAATCTACACGAGCCATCCTAACCTAACCTAACTTAACCTCTCACTTAACCTAAGCATAAGGTTAGGTTAGTTTAGGTTGTCTCTTTGTAATTCATTTTGCAAAATAAAACGTAACATATATGCCGTATATACAGGGTGCTTCAGCAAAGAGTACAATAAATTGAAGGATGAAATCCTTGGATAATTCAAAACCACAATGTGTCTATGGTAAAATGTGAGATTCTGGATAGTTTCCATGTTACAATACATTTAAGATGTTGCATTAATGAGTGAATTTGAAACCCCCATAGGTTTTTATAATCCTTTATTTACAGATCTCTACAGTGTGACCCCTCTTTGTTACAACCTTAGGGAAATGTTCAAAGTTGCCCCCTTCTGCCTCAATACAGGCCTGTACACGTCGTCCCATTGATTGTCTGGCTTGTTCCAGAATGCCTGGACTATGTTTAATTTGCTCGCACCTGTCACGAACACACGGGCATATCCAGAATCTCTTATTTTACCATCGACACATTGTGGTTTAGAATTATCCAAGGATTTCATCCTTCAATTTATTGTACTTTTTGCTGAATCACCCTGCGTATATATATATATATATATATATATATATATATATATATATATATATATATATATATATATATATATATATATATATATATGTATGTATGTATGTATGTATGTATGTGAACAACAGAACATATGGGATTAATTCCAATAGAGACTGGCCTGACCCCCAAACTCCACTTTTTGACGACACACAACTATGTTGTAGTAAAAATTTTATCTTAACTTTATGATGGTATGAACAAACAAGTAATTTAGAAGAGGTTAGGTTAGGAAAAATAAAGGTTAAGTTAGGAAAAATAAAGGTTAGGTTAGGAAAACTAAAAGTTAGGTGTAACACTTACGTTAGTAGAAGACACACACTGCGCAACCTTACAGCGCAGCTTGCCCAGGCGGAGGGAGGAGGAGGGAGAGGTGAGAGCAGGCAGGCAGGCGGGTGGGGCATATCTAAAAATAGCGTCTCCAGCCGGACACTCTGCGCATATATGTGGAAAAAACCCGCGTTAAGTGAAAGTTCGGCTCTGGCGAGGCACCGCGTATACGTTTTGCATCACTTTCCGGATTTTAAATGTTTCATTGAGATCTACCCTATTGTGTCTTGTCTGAAAGTTGTTAAGTCCTAAGGCTCTGTGTTGCACTTTTTCTAGGGATGTTAGATCTTTCTGGAGGTAGGGTTTCCATGCCTGTTTACAGTAATCCAGACTGGAATGTACTTGAGATTTGTACATCTGATGGAGCATTTTACTAACTTCGTATTCAAAGGTGTGCTTTATAATTCCTAAATCTCGATTTGCGCCGCTTTCAGTGATTGATCTATCATTTGACAGAGTACCGCATCAGAGGCTTCCGAGAAAAATTAAGGCTCATGGTAACGAGGGGAAAGTCTTAAATTGGATAAAATCATGGCTCACCGATAGAACGCAGAGGGTCAGCGTAGATGGTGTTAAATCTGAGTGGGGCCGTGTAACCAGTGGGGTTCCCCAGGGGTCAGTACAAGGCCCACTCTTGTTCATAATCTACATAAACGATTTAGATACTGGGATCAGCAGTGACATAAGCAAGTTTGCTGATGACACCAAAATAGGGCGGCAAATTAATTCGGGCAGGATGCAAATGCATTACAGGAGGATCTAAATAAACTGCAGGGGTGGTCTGAAAAATGGCAAATAAAATTCAACACCAGCAAGTGCAGCGTACTTAATATTGGAAGAACAAATACTTATAATGTATACAGCCTTAACAACATCAACCTAGAGAAGTCGACTTGTGAAAGAGACCTAGGGGTACTTGTAAGCCCGGACCTACGGCCTGAAAACAGTGCGTTAATGTTCGAAATAAGGCAAACAGAGTATTGGGTTTTATATCTAGAAGTGTAAGTAACAAGAGTGCAGAGGTCTTATTGCAACTATATCTTGCGCTAGTTAGGCCGCACCTCGATTATGCGGTTCAGTTCTGGTGCCCTTATTATAGAATGGATATAAATTCACTAGAGTTGGTGCAGCGAAGAATGACAAAAATGATTCCGGGACTTAGAAACCTTCCATATCAGGATAGGTTAAAGAAACTTAACTTGCATTCCCTAGAAAGACGAAGAGTGCGGGGAGATATGATAGAAGTTCTTATAATATCCGAGCAGGATAGGACTCGTAGCAACGGATTCAAGTTGGATAAGTTTAGGTTTAGGAGGGAGATAGGAAGAAACTGGTTCACAAATAGGGTGGTGGACGAGTGGAACAAGCTTAGCAACTTTGTAGTAAGTGCGGGAACTCTGGAAAGTTTCAAAAGGAGGCTAGATAGATTCATGGATGATGGAGAGTGGTAGTAACTCTCGACAGGAGCTGCCATGCACAGGTCGACCGGCCTATTGCAGACTCCTTATTTTCTTATGTTCTTCTTATGTAACACCAAGATCTTTCTCCTTTTCTACAGTATCCAGGAAAGAGTTATTAACAGAATAGTTGTGCTTTTGCCAGTTTCGCGACCATTTGAAGAGCTCATTCAGGTCTTCCTGCATTGCTGCGAGATCGTCCTGACTTTTTTCCTTTCCCAAATCTTTGTATCGTCCGCAAACTTGACAATGTGGCACGATATTTTTCATCAATGTCGTTTATGTAGATCATAAACAAGGTGGTCCAAGGATAGAGCCTTGTGGTCCTCCGCTGAGAACCTTTTTCCATTCACAATGTACTCCATTTTGAGGGTTAATTACCACTACACTTCGCGGCTATAGGTATATTATTATAGTAACCTGTTGTCATAATTCTCACTTGTTTCTTACAATATTAACTTCGTGATTGAAATATTTATATGACGATTCAGCCGAAGGTGTCAGACATTTTCATATTAGGGCTACTGAAATCCTATTTTTCTTTCTTTCTCGGGGGTTCTGGGGAATAGTAAATAGTCAATCTAATTATTATTATTATTAGGTTAAAAAAAATTGTGATAGAGCATTTTTAACATAGTAACAAAGTGATAGGATTCAGTTTATCAATATAGATCTAGAGAATACTCGCACCAGCTATACCTGCAACAGGAAATTTTTAGTGGCCACCAAAAATTCTTGTATAACTACCAAACATCACAGGTTTCCCGGTCCCCAGTTTCCTCCTGTGCTAACACTGGATAGACCAACTGCTCGAACGGCTAGTAAACTGATAAAGTGGCGAAATTATAAAAAATTAATATAGATAAAACAAAAAAGCACCGCGGTAGTGATGCGCCAGCCTCTGATAGCCCAAGCAGAATATCATGCTTTTTTAATTCTATCAAGTAAACTTTCACTCCTCCTGTTGACCTACTGTTACTGATTACAGACCAAGCGTAAGCCTAAGCAAAGGACCCTCTTGGAAATAAGCAGCTGGCAGCTTTTTCGGTTATCCTTAGTCAAGTTGCCTTCCTGTTTACCATTGTTGTCTACCTGCACTGTCTCGGTACACAGGAAACTGTATACTCCCACGGTCTTTTTTTTTACGGGGAATGACCCACCCGGGCACAGGTCATTGACCCACAACAGGGCCTGGGGGAAAAAAACAAGAGTAAAAAGAAATGGAAAATAAAAAAGAAAAAGGTTATATTAATCTACACCACGAAGATGCCGAAAACCATCTTTTTAAAGTGAGACAGATTGCATGAGTATGGAAACACAGAAGAAGGCGGAGCATTCCACAGTTTGGCTGTGTGAGGAAAGGAGGAGGTACTATAACGGGCTATTATAGTGTGACCGACATCCACAGAGAAACTGTGGGCACCGCGGGCAAGACGTGTGTTACAAGCCCATGGCCTTGCCAAATCCACCGAACATTGCCCGCTAAAATACCTGTAAAAGAGAGAGTGAAGCAACATTGCGGCGAAGAGAAATGGAAGAAAGATTATCAACTAAAGGAGGAGAGTTAATAAGACGCAATGCCTTTGATTCCACCCTCTCTAACAGTTGGACAGAAGAGCCACCCCAGATATGAGAGCAGTACTCCAAGTTAGGACGAATGAATTCCTTATACACTTGAAGCAACTGCTCAAGATTGAAGTAGCTACGGCATCTGTACGGCATTCCCAGCTTTAGCAATGTTGTGGATGTGTGGCTTCCATGGCATATTAGAGGAAATGGCAGAATGATAGCGTCCTGAAATGTGATTGGTGGGAGATCATCTAATTTGGAAAGTGTAATTGGTAAATACTGAGTTTTATTACTATTGAATTTAACCAAGTTTCTACCTCCCCATTCGGAGATGCTGCACAGATCTTCATTGATAGATGTAATGATTTCAGCTCTAGAAACTGATCTACTTTCAGAGTTAGGGGGAAATGGAAAAATATGAAAAGAGTGAAGAGTAGAATCATCAGCGTAAGAATGGATAGAATTAGTCGTAGTGTGAAGTAAATCATTGATAAAAAGAAGGAAGAGAGTAGGTGAAAGAACAGAACCTTGTGGGACGCCACTACTGGTAAAGAAAGAGCAAGAGATCGATCCTTCGACAACAACTGTCATGGATCGATTCTCAAGGAAGCTAGAAATTAGAGAAAGTGGGGGGAGAGAAACCATAAGAGGGAAGTTTAGAAAGCAAAGACTTGTGCCATACCCTGTCAAATGCTTGGAGATGTCGAGGGCCACGAC